GACGCCATGGGCCAAAACTATATCGATGACTTGATGTAGCATGGAGTTTTCTTGGTCGACATTGTATCAAGAGTTCATAGGGTCGGAAGGACGATGCAGGGCAAAGTAGATGAAGCACTACCATTAGGCATCATCTATCAGGGAAAAAATTCCAAAGGAATAGGGAATTTGCAAGGCCTTATCGGATATTTAAAAAAAAAAAAAAAAAAAAAAAAAAAAATCATTTTAGTATCCCACATTTATTTTTTAAATTTCTCTCGTGCTTGTCTAAAAATATCTCTCGTAGTGATAGTGTTTTGTCTCATCTTTAGCACTAATCAATTGGGAAGATCGTCATCAAACCAACTTATGACAATCCAATCAGCTACAAAGAAAGGAGCCACAAATTAATGGCATACTTCAAAAGCACAAAAACCAATAGCAGTCAAAAGCCATATAATCACAGAACCAATGCTATCATGCACCAACAGGGCTATATAACGTATTGGAAGAGTTGAGTTGAAGCTTTTGTAAATGACAAATGGGTCTACCTCATGTAACTTTAAATTCAACACATTCTTCAACTGTACAAGTAATAACAAAGTGCCAACCAACGAACAAATCTATAGTACGAGATCGAAATTCCACTAACTTCACATTGCATTTTCGGCTGGTTGGGATTGGTATGTGCGCCTCCTTAACTGGGACTCCGCTGTGGGCTGTTGTAAGAAGATCCTCGTCGGGTCATTTGGATCAACATAGCTGCAAGTTAAACATCAAAAACATAATCAAATGACAAATTCCAACATGACAATGAGATTGAATTCGATGAGAATCAACGCTACTCACGCATGTCTCATCATTTCATCGACAGGAGTTTGTGCTGCCTGCAATGGATCAACTTGAGGACCTGCATTCATATGTTGATTGTATTGTCTCACTGAAGACAGCAAGTTGAAGAAGAGTGGTACAAAGGTACCACATCCCCCTTCCTTGAACAAAATCTTAAACGAGTGAGTCGAGTAGAGAGCCCTGTGCTGGTCTTCAGGCACCACCTGTAATAAGCTATTAGCTAGGCTTTCTAAAGTAGCACTCGGACACACTAAACAAGATGTGATCTAATAGTTCGCATGCTTACAGGTTCAACTAATCCAGAGATATTGTTGCAGAAAAATATTGGCTGGTTAAATTTCTCATCATGAACATAGAGCTGCAAGCGCAACAAGCAAAATATTAGATAGCAATGCAACAAAATGTCGAATAGAATAACGTAATCCAACAGCTATTTAGGTCTAAAAATATGGACACACAAATATAAGAGGCCCATACTAGGATTATGAATAAGTTGCTTCGAGTTTAGGACTCGACAAATTATTAGATTTTATTAGGGCATTTTCATGAAGATTGTGTAAATAGTACTATTAGAAGATATATTGGGAATATTAGTGAGATATTATAAAGGATATAGTGATAATTAGATAGAGATGACTTGGTTATAAATATGAGCTAGGATTTGTGGAGGGGAGGTCATATTTTGGTGCGCCAGTCCATAGTGGGTGGATTGTCGGAGAGACAACCTTCTTACAACCTATGGATATGGTAATTCCTTGGATATTACAATGTAGTTTTATCTTTCGTTTATGCAGGAGAATTCTCACCAATTCAGTTTCCAAAGATGGACAATTATAAGGACAAAAGGCATCAAGAAGGCAAGTAAACATAAAGAGTGAAAGCTTACCAAAGGCATGTCAAATGCAGTGAAGTATGGATCTGGTTTATTTGACACAAACACCATGCGTACATTTGACAAGTAAATAGTCCCTTTTGCTTTCACACGATCACTCGAAGCCCTGAAAGAGAGGTAAAATCCAATACGCTCATGCACCATCTCTACCACTTACAACCAAGTTCATCCAAATTGATACAAAGAGGCAATTATTGCCGGTAAAAGGTGTCAGAATGGAATATTATATCTTTTTATTCTTAATATAAGGGACAAAAATCTTTTCATAAGGGAAAATTGCATACAAAAAAGGAGCAACATGAAATCTTATTGAACTTCTAAAATGTACATAAAAAAAAGAAAAGACAAAACCAGCAGAATCCATTTGGACCAGGCTACAAACAGACCTTTTCCCATACCTTCTCCACATCTCTAAAAATTTTATTCTTCCTTTCAAATCAGATATTCCATTAGATGAAAAAATAAGTAGTCTTCCACAAGCCTTTTCCCTTTGTCCCAGAAAGGAGTTGAACTAGGACCTTGTTAGCCATTAAGCAACAAGATATATATACGAGCCAAGAAAATACCTACCAGTTAAGATAAGATTTATCACAAGCCATAGAAAAATGAGCTCGAGGAACTATGGTCAACCCAACATGTAACCCCGTATTGCCACAATTGTCCAGGCTCCTAGAAGTTAACCTTTTGTCCTTCCTAGTCAACATATTGTACCACAAGGAATTTTTAATAGACACCCAAAGCCACATTCCTAAGAGTGAGGATAAGCGGCAAAAACATCCCCTCTTGACTCACAGAAGTTTTTTTTTCCCCCATTAATGAGAAGAGTATTTGCCTTTCATGGCCATCACAACCCCAAATAAAGCTTCTAACATTTTCTCTTAACATTTTTTCACCAAGATTGTTTCGGAAAGTTCTAGATACCCTCGTAAAGATTTTTTCATGTGTGAGGAAAGCATAACCAAATAAAAAAGGGGCAGAGTGACACTGTGTAAGACCGGGCAGCTCACACTTCAACCTCATTCTTTTATGTGTGAGGCTTTGTGATAGTTCATCCTACCTACACTACTTCCTTATTCATGAACTAGATGTGGAAAGTTACTTTAACATGACAAGATGGTGAAGTGTGAAAGGACAAGTATTTGCCCTAGAATTCAATGGACAAAAATCACATAGATCTTAGGTCCTAAATAATCTCAACAACTTGTCAACTTTAGCATAGCTCAATTAGTTAAAACATATAATCATAACCATGAGGTCAAAGATTCAAATGCAACCTCAGATGGTATTGAGCTGGAAAATTAATCCCACAGCTTTGTGTGTGTTTATTCTCAAGCCTAGTTCTAACCCTAGAATAGGAACAGATTTTAAGAAGATTATCTTGTACATTAAAAAGCAAAAAACCTTTAAATAAGACACATGAAAGTTCGGAGAAAAGATAATCTTACCTCTGGCCTCTTAAGGCTATAGTTCTCTCACCTAAACCTACCATCGCTGAAGACCAAATATCTGTTGCTAGACATGGGACTCAACCCACTCGACCAAATCCCCCCACCTTGTTTTCTAGCAATAGCATGCACACTAAAACTACAAGTCGTACTTTTCCCCACCTTTTTTCCCTAGCAACAGCTTACACACTCGTGCATCAATGATGTGACTCCAATCGTACATTCACTAACTTGGGAGTTCCCAACTCATGCTTAATTTTTGCTAGTTTCCCCATTCATGGTTTGCCAATGCATCGTTCTCCTTCATAGGAAAATTCAGTTGGTAGTTGGCTTGACGTATGACTTACTTGTTGTCATCCACTCTCTCACTTGCTTCATCTGAGTAGTAATTCACTCCTCCCAGGTGCAATGGTTGCGTCCCCCAATAATAATCCTTTATTTTCCTAAGGTAAGGTCTAACACACTACTATGTGCTAGTTTGGTGCTAAACACTATTATACTAACAGAATTGACTATGAGATTACCTCATTGAATGAACCTCACTCTCATCTACTCTCAAACTAAAGCAGATACCTGCTTCATGGAAAACTGACAAGCTCTTTTTCCAATGCAACTCTTGGTTTCAAGCTTGGGCCCATTTGGCTGAAGGATGCTACCTCTTGGATGAGACTTGCAAGCACACTACTAACACACTCTCTTAATGGTGTGCTTCTCTTGTCATCTCTCCCCTTTAGCCTACTCTTCTTAAGCCACCTGTAATTGCAAATAGGCAACATTATCATTTCGTTCAAGCATGTTTCCTCATTGGAGCAAACGTTGGTCACTGAACTCTCTCTCCAATGAGGCACATCCACTCTAATTCATAGAGAAACTTCCGGTGTTCTCTCAAGCACATTGCATGATTAAGCAGCCAACATGGATTGACCAATGAAATCCACTCACAATACTGTGGACACTTCCCTAGGGCAGGTAACTCATTCTCTTGAGTTATCTCCCTCTTTGCTCGATTTGTACTAACTCGCCCGGATGTCCAATTCATATAGACTACTAGTTGCTCCACTAGGCACTTGACCAATACTTTTCTTATTGACTGATACTTTCAATGGCCAACCCTTGACTTTATTTTTTCTTTTCCTTTTATGAAAAACCAAACTTTCATAGCAAAAATGGACATACAAACTGCCCATGAAAAAAATAACCACTAGGAAAAGAGGCTCAAATTGTTCAAAATGATTGCAAAATTCTTTAGTCCACACCCAAAAACGCATTACTAATCAAATATGAAATTCCTCCTCTAAGACATCACATCACCACTTTGAAAATCTTTTCTTCCCTCTCAAGTCAAATGTACGACAGTATAGCTAAATATGGTATCTAATAGCTATTTGGCATTGTAGCCAAATAGAGATTGCCCCTTTGGCTAAACACCCAAATTCCTTACTTTCGTTCATACAAGAAGTGATGGATGCAGGTATACATACACACAATGCAGACAAGCAACTAGTTTTTAATATTTGAAACAAGAAAAATTTTAAAGCATCCATGAGCATATTAACTCAAAAAGTCCGAACTTGACTTCATGAAATTTAAAAAGAGTTCCAATATAAAAACATTTTTGAAACATAGTATCTACATTTTCCATATATGCCAAACAGCTGCATTCTTTATTCAAAGAATCAAGTAATGAGTTCTTAAAATTTTTCATGTCTAGCTTAATCTACCATACTTCCCTCGCTCAGAATACCTTCATAAATAAAATTAATCAAACGGCCAGAAACAGATTCTGAAAAGAGAAAGATCGGGTAACCATATAATATGAATAATATAAAGATGTCCCTTCGAAGAAATCTGATAAAACTGGAACTATACAAAGAACATTAGCATGGCCCCTGTACTAGGATGACATGCACAAATCGAGAAAAATGAAGAATATAACAATGGTTAATAACAGATGGAAAATTTTCTCCATAACTCCTCTACCATAGAATTTAAGATCCAGGTACTAAAAAAATCCAAGAAACTAGTTCTATAAGTCTGTCATGTTCTAGCTGGTTCCAAAACCAAAAAGGAGAAGAATCTATGTTTTACTATTGAATTGAACAAGGTCAATTCAGTCAACGCAATAACATTGTAATAAAAGAGATTAAGTTCCCAAATTCAACGATTCCTCGCGTAGGCATTATGGTACCTTCAATAATCAATCACACCTCAACCCCATCGAACCCAGTGTAAACTAAATAAAGTTATAAAAGACGTCCCCACGATTAAGGTCAATCAGAATGACTCCGTGCCCAGAATCAACTCAAATTCGAAAATCGGATAACTGATTCAACCAGGAAAAAATTAGAAAAACAGAAACAAAATAAGGAACCGTCACATGAACAAATTTAGGAATCATCCACACAGCAAATTCCCAAATTAGTTCAATTACAATGTTCGGTCGCGTAATGGTTATCGAAAAGGAAATAAAGGAGAAATAGAACTGACCCGGGGATCTTGTCAACCTCAAATTCAACGCCATCTCTAGCCAATACGAAAAGCTCGTTGGTGAAGGGAACGGGCATCCCATTTGAAAACAGATTAGGGTTGAGAGCCATGGGAGATCAGAAGTGAGCCAGGTTAGGAAGACGCGAGGTTTAAAACTCTAATCGCCGCCAACATCCACGACCTTCTGGATAATTCTATGGTGGACAGGAAGAACATTCGAGAAATGGCCGAGTACTTGCGGAATTGGAGCTCCTCTTGAAGAAAACTGCCCAAATTTAGGGGCATTTGGATTGATCGGTTGTTTTAGTTTATATTAAAATTAATTATATAATGTGAAAAATGGTTAAGAGAACTCTTTTAGTTTTAATTTTAACTTCAACTCAATTGCATAATGATTTTCGATAATTTTTAGAAAATTAATATTTTGTGGTTAAACTGAACACCATATTGTAACTCTAGTCTATTATCATTTAAAATAATATGTATTTTATACCATAAAAATTACGACGTAAACAATTATATTTGCTAATTTCTTATCATTTTAATACTATCATTTAAACACAAATTTTAATAATCTAATGTGCAAGTATTTCATCCTATTAAATTGAATGATTTTTTTCAATTAAAAAAATATTATTTTTAAAATAGTCATATTTTTCAAGATTTTTTTTTTTTCGAATTTCGAAATAAGTTACTTAATATCGGAAATATGGATTTTGGACAAATAACCAAGAAAGAGTGACGTGAGGGCTATCTTCCACTCAAAAGCAAGAACAAACCAGTTGCAGGGGCCATCTTTTGGTGTCAGTTATTCGAGCTAAGAACCACTCAAAAGCAAGAACAAACTAGTCGAACTTGAGACTTCTTGCACCTAAAACAAGAATCATATCGCTGGACCAAATACCCTAAGAGTGAATTCATCATTTTTAGTTACTAGTCCATGTGTTTTCTGTGCCTCAAGATTTGAAATTTATCCACGTGTTTTGTGCTTTAGAAGCTACTATTATTGTCATGTTAATTTCACATAGTAAATTTTTACTTCAATTAATATTTTAAGAAATATACAATAATGCGTATACCTTTCTTGGGACTAAGTCTTTTTTAGTTTTGTTTTTCATTTGTAGCACGGACTTGTAGCGAAAATAAAATAGAGGAAATTTGAAATGCTAATGGTTTACTTAGTACCTACATCTACATCTCGCATGCTAAGTGAGTGCTCTACCATCTAGGCTACACACTCACAATTCTTATATCACAAAACCCTAAATTTCTCATCATCAATAATAGTGGAAATGAAGAAATATGGCTACTCAATATGTCATGAACAAGAAATAATTGAAAAGAAATAATATATTTAATAATAGATAGTTTTATGTTGGAGATGCAAGGTATCAATCTCTGTACCTCTCACATGCAAAACGAGTGCTTTACTATCTTTGCTACAACCCCATGGTTCTTACATCACAAAACTCTAAACGCTTTGTCATCCATAATAGGCTTGAGCTTGATATTATTCCTTGTTATATATCTTGAATTTTATAATCTTGTTTATAATTTCTAAACGCATGCTTTAAGAGAGACATTATGGTTCTTTTTATTTTATGATTCCAAAACGGGAGAAAATTAGATATAATTTATGGATCATTTATTTGTCTGTTTCATAATATATTGGGTGTTTTATAATTTGTTGGAGCATTAATAATAAGGAGAAAATATATTCTTGAGTTAGTTTCAAAGTTCAAAATTTATGACGATATATTAAAATGCATTGATAACAGAAAAATTGACATCTCTCTTCACATAGAAATTCTAAAATAGAAAGTGGTTGGTACCTCGTCTTCTTTTATAAGACAACCTCAAGACCTTATTTATTCACATAGAATATATATGGCATATTCATAGTTTCATAGGAATGTATGTATTTAACATGTCTCATTTTAATGTATTTATTTACTTCGTTTCATTCTACGACCTTTCGCACCCAAAGCGAGAATCATACCACTAAACCAAATATCCTTGTTATGCCACTTGAAACGTATGTATGAAGCCTTGGGCCTAGGTATTAAGGTCGTATTTTGTCGTATTGCATGAAACACATGAAGTCCTCGATGCACTTGAATTGAAGCCTTGGATGTAGAAAGTGTCTTGGAGAACAAAACAAGAATATAATAAAGAGCTTTTCGTATTGGCTAGAGATGGCGTTGAAAAGTAGATAATAAGAACAATAAAGTTTATATTAATATGAAGTCCTTCGATAAAAAAAGATTTAGACATACGGGCATTTGAGGTTGCACCCTAAGAGAGGGTCATACCACTACACCAAATGTCTTTTCTTAAACACCCAATATTTTTAGGTTCTACTCAAATATAATTTTTCTCTGAGTGGTTGGAGGGCTATAAAATGAAAAGTTGATGGTCTAATATTTTACGGGTAGGTAAGACATGTAATATTGAATTGTTATAATATACGAGGGTTATCAAATAAACCAACAACCCAACAAAGGAAACAAACTAATCAATTTGAGTTAGATTGATTCGGTATTGTTCATCAGTTTGCTTGATTTAATTCTTCTATTTTGCCTTGTATGACAAGAAAATAAAGTTGTATTGAATGCACCTTAGTTCCATTTATGACAAACTCATATGAAACATAATTGCATTAATAGTACTCAAAGTTGGAGTCTATACGTATTTCATGAACTTAAGTGCAATTTATGCTTCATTAAAGAGGAGATAAACTTTAGTTAAGTAACGGGAACTTTAAATTACTTTACGTGAAGCTTCAATTACTCTATGCTAGTTACAATCTTTAGAATTGACTAATTGGACACGAGTTCATGGATTTAGGGAAATTTTTGTATAATTATCAACTACCACTTATATTTTCAAATTTTTAGGTCATAGTTTAGGTAGTTGTTGTTATGAGTCTTAAACTTTTTTTTTGCATAATATAGATTTAGTTGAACTGTTATTACTGATAAGATGGAGAAAGAAATTGTCTTTGAAATGACTAATAGACTTAGGTTTATCGTTGTTGTCTTTTAACTGTGATTTTGAAAAACACTTAACTAATATAAACTATTTTGTCACAGATGACAATAAAATGGAGTTAAATTGAACGCACTTTAATTTCATATTTGGCGTGTTCAAGATAAAACATAATTGTATTAATGATATTGAGCTTGGAGTATATAAGAATTTAATGATCATAAGAGAAATTCCTATTTTATTAGAGAATACCAACTTTATTTAAGGTATTAGGAGTTCAAACTGGCTTAAGCGTGCGTGCTCATTTTATCCATGTTCTCCCCTTCCTCCCATTTCCTCCTCTTCCTTCATCACATTCTTTATTTCTCTTCCCATTTCTCAATCTCCAACTCATCCTTTCTTTATCCCTAACCAACGCAGATATGAATAAAGAAAGAGAAAAAAGAAAGAGAGGGAAGGAAGTCGGTTTGGATTTCGCTTTGGAACTAGACATTGATGAGTATGATCTAACAAACATCGATACAAGAAATTTAGTGACTTAGCTTTAGACCAACCAGATAAGTGGTGTTACTATTGATATGTATTATGTTATGTTATGTTGTAACACGAATTCAAATGAGGATTAATTTCTCAATTTTTTTGTTTAAGTTGAAACTTTAGGAATTTATTGAGAAATTTAGAGACGGAAGAAAAAAATAGTTACAAAAATTTTAAAAACGCATTAAAAGTATAAAAAGAAAATAGTAAAAAAATAGGAAAATCCGTCCAAATTTAAAATTTTCATTTTGATCCATTTTTACCAAGGGGACAACAAAATTGCTTATTAGAGTTCAATAGAGAGGAAAAAGAAAGAACTAAAAAAAAGGGAAGAAAATAAAGAAGGGGAGTTAAAAGTTTTAATCTAGATTTATTGTAGGTTTGTTTTCATTCTCAATTTTAATCTTGTCGCGATCAAGTAATCCGTCTTAGATTTTTCCTTAGGATAAAGAGTCATATAACTTTAAGACTCAAACTTAATAACACGTCTTGCCGCGATCGAGTAGTCTAATCCTATTTTGAAGTATATGATATGTTGTAAAACTTGTATGAATTTATTGTAGGTTAACACCAATGCCCTTATAGTGATTATGTCAATTTTAGTTGCTAGTCCATATGTTTTATGCGCCTCAATATTTGAAATTTATCTACGTGTTTTTGTGGTTTAGAACCTATTATTATTGGCATGTTAACTTGGCCTCTGGATTCTTTAGAACCAAATTATTTTGGTTGATAAGCTAACTTACACTACCCTACATTCTATAATCTGAGTTGATAAGCTAAAATACATTACCCTACATTCTATAATCTCATGTATTTGTTGAAATCACCATACCTAAATGAAGTTCTCTATTTGTAATCATTTACATAATCAAATAAATTATAAAGAATTGAGAACACCAATAAATGAAAATAAATGAAAA